GTTTTGCGTTCAACTTAAAATTAGAAAAGTAGTTAAGTAAAATGATATTTTTTCTTACAGGGATCGAAATTGTTGAGAGGCTTTCAACAATGGGAATAGCAGTAAACCTGGTGACTTATTTGGGCGGAATAATGCATCTGCCAAGTACAACCTCAGCAAATATTGTAACAGATTTTATGGGCACTTCTTTTCTGCTGTGCTTGCTTGGGGGTTTTCTTGCAGATTCTTTCCTGGGAAGATACAACACAATTGCCATTTTTGCTATCACACAAACACTGGTAATTGAATTGTGTTTATTTTTCACACACACACACACACACACACACTTATATATTGAACCGTCCTATGAAATGCACGACATAGCACCATTATAATCTTCCTTTATAGTGAAAGCCTGTAGTGGGAATTGGACACACGTAACTCTTACAATACTGAGGAGGAACCGCTATAAATTATCTGTCTGTTCGCTTTTGCTAGTGTTTCTGATTTGAGTTTGCTTATTATTGTTCTCGTAATTTGATTTTTCCGACTGAAAATTCAGGGAACTGGCATCTTAGCATTGGTGACGAAGCTGCCAAATCTTCGACCTCCACCTTGTTCTCCTCATCATGCTATTTGCAAACAATCCAATGGATTTCAAATGGGAATTCTATACCTTGCTTTATATCTTATAGCGTTAGGCACTGGTGGCCTCAAGTCAAGTGTGTCAGGATTTGGTACTGATCAATTTGATGAGAAAGATGAGAAGGAGAAATCTCAAATGGCTTATTTCTTCAACAGATTCTTTTTCTTCATAAGCATTGGAACTTTGACAGCAGTTACTGTACTTGTTTACATACAAGACGAAGTGGGTCGAAGCCTAGCCTATGGGATTTGTTCCATTGCCATGTTGATAGCACTTTTGATATTCTTTTCTGGGACTAGAAGATTCAGGTATTTCCATTGAATCTCGTCTAAAAGTTTTAATATTTTTTAGGAAGTGACACATTTATTTATTTAAATTTAATCTTCAATAGGTACAAGAAGAGCTCGGGAAGTCCTGTAGTTCAAATTTTTCAAGTAACTGTAGCAGCAGTAAGGAAGAGAAATCTCAACATGCCTTGTAATCTTAACATGCTATACGAGGATACACCTGAAAACTTGAGAATCACCCACACAGATCAGTTCCGGTGAGTATGACTATGTTATGATTGCTTATCAACCGTGTTGTATCTATACTAAGGCTAAGGGCATGTTCGACATGACATTTGAGAAGTTAAAAACTGTTTTTGAGATTAAGAAGTTATTTTGGTATGTTTGAATAATTTTCTCAAAGTGTTTTATCATATTAAAAGGAAACTGACCTAAATGACTTCCTCAAGAAGTTCTACAAAAGGCAGAAGCCATCCCAAACAGGCCTAAGAATAAACTCACATATCCAAGATTCTTTTCATATGCTATGCAGTTCTCTGGACAAGGCAGCCATTGTAGCAGAAGGAGATTTTGAAATAGGCTACAAATATTCATATTCAACTTCAAATCCATGGAAACTGTGTTCAGTTACAAAAGTGGAAGAAGTGAAAATGATGGCAAGATTACTGCCAATTTGGGCCACAACCATAATATTCTGGACCATTTATGCACAGATGATAACTTTTTCTGTAGAACAAGCTTCCACAATGGAAAGATCGCTTGGAAGTTTCTTGATCCCTGCTGGCTCGCTCACTGTCTTTTTTGTGGCTGCTATTTTGATCACTTTGGCCGTTAATGATCGTCTCATTATGCCACTTTGGAAGAAATGGAAAGGAAAACCAGGTAATAAATACATATTCAGGTTGTACGGAAACGGAAAGAGTAATGATCAGTTCTCGACCCATGTTTGACACGCAATATTCATTGCTGAGTTGTAACCGAGTGGAAAAATGGAAAATGAAGAAGGAAAATGCGAAACAGAAATACTAGACTTTCCTTAAGTTCCGAAGTACTCATTCATTCTAAGAGTTTGGCCCGATTCAGTTCCCACATTCCTCAATAGGTTCCCCTCTATGGCTAGCTAGCCCTAAAAAAAGTACATAGGGACAAGGTTAATACTTTAACTGATTGCTCGCTTAAGGCCTCTACGAGTAGGGCTCTCCATTGGCTAGCCGGATTCCTCAAAGAATAGTAGTTTTCATGTCAAGGACAAAAATGTTAACATTTTATAATCTGTCTTTGGGTGCAGGTTTCTCAAACCTAGAAAGAATTGCCATTGGACTAGTCCTTTCAACAATAGGTATGGTGGCTGCAGCACTAGTTGAAATGAAGAGATTATCCGTCGCTAAATCCGTCGGCCGGTCTACTCAAACTCTTCCAATGAGTGTGTTTTTTCTTATACTACAATTCTTTCTTGTGGGTTCTGGAGAAGCATTCATATACACTGGCCAGTTAGATTTCTTCATTACACAATCCCCCAAAGGAATGAAAACAATGAGCACTGGTCTCTTCTTGACCACTCTTTCGCTCGGGTTTTTCATTAGTAGCTTCCTCGTCTCAGTTGTCAAGAAGGTGATGTCGGATATTTTACTCAAAACAATTTTGTCGAACTCCCATTAGTAGCTTCCTTGTCTCAGTTTTCGTTTCCATTGTATTTATTATCGTGCGTGGTACTTCTTCCAACAGGTGACGGGTGCTAACGGCAGAGAAGGATGGCTTGCGGACCACATAAATTACGGACGACTCGACTGTTTCTATGGACTTTTAGCTGTCCTAGGATTCATAAATCTTCTTGTGTATCTCATTTGTGCTGTGTGGTACAAACCACAGCAGAAACCTAAACCTGCTGCCAAACAGATAGAGACTGCTGTGTTTAACGGAACTGCTGAGGAAAAATGCTAATATTAAAAAAGTTTCATGGGTACCATGTAGTCAGTGTAATTGAAGTCAAGTGTGTTTCTTCTCGTGTATGATTTTGCCTTTTCTAAACTTTATCAAAAGAAATGTGCCAATTTTCAGTTTCTGTAATATATACTTTGTTCAAATCAATGGTAATTCTCGAAGTCTATTTATAAAGGGCCTTCTTCAATTCGTAGATTTTCTCTTCAACCCGTCATTTTACATATCCAGGATTATTTCATGTAACCTTCTTCGTTAAATACACTTAAAATGATGACTTGACATTCACATGATCATATAGAGGTTTCGGAACTTCAATTCAAGCCTCAATTTCCTCGAAACTCTTGGGCAGAAGTAACATAATCAATGTCCTTTCACCCAAATATGGTTTTCAGAGTTTTACCATATAGTTTCTTTGGTGAGTATTACAGTCACGAGCAGAAGCAATTTATATAAGCTTTGGCATAAACAAAAGAACAATGCACACACGATATTAGCATCAAAATTTAACATCTCCAAACAAAACGAATCGACCCACAATTTGGCAAAATAAGTGCAAAATGACAACTAAAAGAGATTAGTCTTCTCACAATTTGGAATATTAAAACAATGAACTTCACATATTGACATAAACTACCCATAACCAAAGATGAATTGCTTCTACGGCATTCAAACTATATGCAGGCTGTCCTCATGCTTAGTTGATGTGCTAATCCAACAAGCACGTTAGGCTAAAGCTTTAAAAAGTAACTTTTTATGTTACCTTCCGAACATGTTCAGAAAACTTACCTTATTATTGCTGTTAAGTAAAAAGGGTTACCTGTTATAAAAGTAACTTTTACCAGATCCTCAAAAAGTAAATTGCTTATCTCCAACACAAACTATAAAAGAAATTATTTATTAAAACTCACTTATTCACTTATAAGTGAACTTTTTAAGCTTCAACATGGCTCTAAGTACAGGTGAGCTCATAAAGGGACAAATAAGAGGATAGTAAGCATCTATATATGGAACTATATCAATGGTTAAACAGAGTAACTAGTGACGAAAATCAAAACAAATACCAAAAACCTTCTTGTATGTCACTCATTTCAATAACTATGCATCGGAGAAACAGCAATACAGATAAGTTATAAATGTAGCAATTTATCGTAGATGAGGCTGAAACAAAACAAGCCAGCTAAAACTTGTGAAGAATAACTCTACAAGTGTGTTTGAAAATGATTCTAAAGAGTAACGAGCACATTATTCAACAAAAGTTAATAAAGAAGTTTGACTCAAGCTCATCTTATTAAACCATTAACCCCACAGGAAAAAAAAATTAAACCTTATTCCCAATTATCTCGGATTGCTACATCTGTTGGAAGACTCAAAGCAGCTTTTAGTAACACAACAAACCCTATTAGTTTTGCTCTAACCCTCCCTTCTAACATGTTCAATTCAACTAAGATAACATTAACACTTAAGAAAAATATCTCTTTAAATCTAGGTAAAATTCGTCTCAACTACCCTTATATATAAATTAAGGTCCTTTAAATCTAGGTAAAACACATTTCAATTACCCTTATGATGAAAATCTCTTTTAACACTCACAAGTTAACACCCATTAAGAAAGCACTAGCTTGCCTTGGCTTTAATCATATCTCATATGTAGTTTGTTCAGAAAAAACTAACTTTACAAAGGATAAGAACTGATATTTTTTACATTCCGTCATTAAATCTCCCAGTAGAAATAGCAATGGAGTAGAATGACAAAGAAGGATTATGTAACCACCCCCAGTTTTATTGGGAATAGTAGATACATATGTCTAAAAATGGCTGGTTGGTTATTAATTAAAGATTCGATTGTCCGCGATCAGCTAAATTGTCCGAACTTATTACGCAAGATAGCTGTTTGGTCAACCTAAGTTGCACATTCTAAAGCTGTTTCATGAAATCATATCAATATATTTTGCGAAAACAAATAGAAATCTCGTTTCCAAGTTCCAAAGCAAACTTGCTACATATACATTCTGGTTTACACCCTAACTTACTGAATTTACACTTGACACAATCTCAAACCATCTTTGACATCGACACATTTAATCCAATCATAACAATCTTGCCACGTCACCCATCTGTCAACAAAGGTGTCAAACTTAATGTACAAATAGCTTAATTGTAAAGTTTAGAGCCTTCAAAATAACATATCAACGCATGGCATAAAATGATATATACAAGAGGCAATCAACAAAACTAAAACCACTCTAAAATTCTACTAAACAAGAGATTTTTTTAAAATATAAATATCATATCAGGAAGAGTTGTCCATAGTGAGCCTCAAGTCGTTCTCAAGAAACATACATATAGCAACTTCACATTCCAAGTAACATGATGTGAAAACTAATAAAGCTAATAAAAAAATTAAATTAGAAAGGCAAAACAGATAAGATATGGAGTAAATTTCTAAGATAGCATACCCATAATAGAACCTAGACTCCTCAGAATGCGTCGTCTATACTTCATTTTTCTCTTTGCTCCATGACTCATCCTACCGAAGAGCATTAAATAAAGGATCTAATATCAAATCAATTCTGTAATTCGTTTTTCTTGGTACCATTATTCTCCCCTTCTCTTTCCTCCAGCAACCTTCCAGCCTCCTCATCAGGCTGCTGAGCCTTCTTTTCTGCTTCTTTCGCCTTGAGTGCCTGCAGCTTCGAGTGATTGTAATAAGCAACGCCCAAGAAGGCCAACGCATAACCAAACAAATTGATTGGTGTCACAGTATCCTTAATCACAGACCATGAGAATGCAATCAAGAGCCAATCTTTAAATACACCAGCCACGTTCATGGTCAATGCAGAGGTCTTTCCCACTAGCAAGAATACCGCGAGATTCAGGGCAAACGCACAGAGAGAATTGGTCCCAAAAATGAAATAATCTAAATGGAAGCTGGAGGTCTCCTTCAGCAGAGGATACTCGACGAAAACCCAAGGGAAAAACAAGAAAATCAAGCAGCAGGGTGCTACATAATAGAGAGACGTTATGGGATTAAGGGTTATTCCCTTGGAAGTGAGCAAGATCTGGATCATAACAAGCCTGGTGGCCTCAAAAGCCACAGCACCCAATTGCAGCATAACTCCCCAAGCATCAAACTTAGCCTCCCCATAAGCAGCTATACCAACCCCAATAGAGATCGAAATCATATTTGTCATGGTCTCTGATTTAAAGATATCCTTCTTCGAAAGAACCCCAATACTATACACAGCCACAGGCATAAGGGCCTTGAGCATTTGAATAAATGATACGGAGAGATAAATATAAGCAGAATTTGAAAGCCAAAGTGAAAGCGAATAAAGAAGCCCAATTGGTACTACAGATTTCAAATAAAGATCCCAAGACATGGTGACGGGCTCGACTACCTTGAATACTCGAACCAAAAGAAAGGCTAAAGATGAGCAAAAACTCATGTGAATCATTGTGAGAGATATTGGGTACGGCCAGTTGTACATTTTCCGGTCCAAGATGTACTTGTTGTACACAATCACAGTGAAGGATAGGAAGATCCATATGGCGACATAGGTGTAGGAAAGTACGATCTTCTTCAGCACGCCTTCGCTCAACACTCCTCCTTTCCCCATTGTTGTGTGATGCGAAATCTCTGATTTTAGGGTATCAGATTTTTCAGATCAAGCACTGAAGGGGAATATATGGCTTCTGGCGAAGAATTTATGGGTGAATTTCGGCGTTTGTGGAACTGAGAGGCGTTACAAGTAAGAACTCAGAGCCAGACAAAAGTGTACGAGGAGTGAAATTCAGGGTTGTGTAAAGTCGTGGGTTCGGTAACCGGACTATATTGGACAATAAGCCCCTTTTGACTGTTAAAATTCGGTTGGTTTTATTGCCCCATAATTTTTATTTGATACATTACATTTTAATTGTAGTTAATTTTTTTAAATTTTTACTCATTTTAACAATTATTTTTTTTTTGAATTCTTATTTTTAACATTCCATTAATTAGTACATCTCATCCTTGATGAATATTAAAATAATTTATTTTCATGCTTTGAAACGAGCCGAAAATATTTTTCGTACTTTTAAAAAAATATATAATGATAAAATAAGTTGTTTTACGTTATTTCAACGAATTTTTAGACATAAAACTGTTATCAAATAAAAAATGTGTTAACTAATAAAAAGTTTGAGCATAAAAATGATATGAAAAATCGTTAGAGACATAAGTGATATAATGATCAAAAATTAAGAACCTTCAAGTACAATTAAAAGGTGGTGCAAAAATAAAAAATTATGGTGTTAATATAATTACCCTTAAAATTCAAAACCGAATTTTCGATAAATTTTGATAAAAATTGATGAAATGTGATTGAAAAGTTTTGGATCTCATAAAATGTATGATCAAAATTAATTATTAACTTTTTTTAGATTAAAATATGAATTTTAATTTTAACGAACATGGCTAATGAAATTTTTCGAATTACTGAATTCAATACTTCCTACCATTTAAAAATTAGGATAAAGTTGTTTGTACACCAGGTGTACGTACACCTGTCTCACATGAATATTGTGCGCGAATATTTTATTATGTGTGAGATCTCCTTCCATGTGAGAGATGTGTAAATGATTATGTACATGTAGCATGATTGTAAAAATTAACATGTATATGTTCATGCATATTTGGTCTCGATTAAATAGTGCGTCTGATTTATTTAATACACATGTCAATTCGTAAGTGGCAAGGAGTTTGGGAATATTATAATTGTTCCCCAATATTATATAAAAGTTCCCCATTACTGTCATGTTTGGTTTGTCAGGTCAGTTTTTTATGCATTAAAAGAAACGGATATGTAGACAAATATCCAAAAACCAAGGGCCTTTTGCAAAATCATATAAAAGATATTTTAAAAGTAAAAAATATTGGGTAAGGTTTGATAGTGTTGAATAAGCCATGTTATGTACAACTTTCATCGCAAAATAGTTTCTCAAAAAAGATAAATAAATAAATAATAATTACAATAATACCCCTTCAAAATTAAAAAAAAAAAAGGTAATAGTTAAAAATCTTAACCAAATCCAATAAAAATAAGCTGAAGATGTTCCTCTAAGGAATGTCAAATCAATGTATTCAACATCTATTCTATACATCTATACAATATATAAAAGAGGAGAGTTGATTACTATTTATAAAACACCATCCTTATCTCATGCTGATGTCATATATATGTATATGAAATGAATTATTTAGTATCATTTACATTTCATTTCACGTAAA